TTTCCTGCTGCCTTTTGCGCCTTGCGCTCGACCAGCTGTTGTGTTGTGTGGGGTTGCAGCGAAGCGCGTGAGGGAATGGTAAACACATACAACACATAACAGCAACTGCACACACACACACACACACACACACACACACACACACACACACACACACACACACACACACGAACACACACACACACACACACACACATGAACACACACATGAACACGCGCACACACGCACACACACGCACATACGTATACCTGGCGGATGGTGGTGTTGGTGTGCGATTCAATGGGCTCTGCATCCTGTGTTGTGAACTTGCGCAGCGTCTGGCCAATCTCATGGCTGCATCAACACCACAACAACAGCAGCAACCACGCAACCATAAGCACGCGCGAGAGGGTGTAAGCACGCAGCCACAACAAGGACCCGTCTCACGAACACACGCACACACACGCACACGCACACGCACACACGCCGCACGCACACAAACAGACACACACACACCTGCCAAAGAGGTAGCGCCTGTCGTCGGCATCCATGATGATGAGCGCAATCTCGCAGTCGCACAGGACGCTGAGCTCGTACGCCTTCTTCATGAGGCCGAGCTTACGCTTGGTCAGAGTGACCTGGCGGTTGCGGTCATCCGCGATGCGCCGGATCTCAATCTTCTTCCTTCCCATCTTGGCTGTTGGTGGTTGTGGTGGAAGGTGGTGGTGGTTGTGGTGGCTTGTTGCTGCGCTGCTGGAAACTGGGCTTTCGCAACCAGTCCTTGCTGTGCTTGCTTCGCAACAAGAGAGTTGGGCTGCTGTTGTCAGTTGGTGTGGTGCCTCGCGCGTTGTGCTGCTTCAGCCGTTTGCTGTTTGCTGTTTGTGTTTGTGTTTTGCTGCTTGCAGTTGTTGTTGTTTGTAACGTCCAAGCAAGAAAAAAAATGCAAAGCCGGATGCTCTCGGGCGACAAAAATATCCGCCCACACGCGCGAGCGCGTGAAGAAGAAGCGTGGAGGAGGTTGTGGCTGGCGGGGTTGGAGATGCACAAATGACGCACGAAGGCAGCTGGGGAGGGAGGGTGCTTGTCGTTCGCGTGTGCACGAGCAGAGACTGAGGGCAAGCAGCAAGGCAAGAAAAGCAAGAAGGCGGGATGGCGTTGTTTCTGTTGTTGGTTGTGGATTTCCCACACACTCGCAGTCGCTATTTTTGGAATGTAGCTCACGCGTTGCAATTTGCAACAGCAGCCAAGTGCACAATTTGCACAGCAATGATTGCAATTTGCAAACTGCAAGACGGCAACAGAGCGGGAGGAGCGCGTTGCAAAAAAAAAAGAGTCGTGAGAAGTTGTGTTGTTGTTGTTGTAGTTGTTTTTGTCGGTGCACTGCCAAAACACACAAGACAAGCAAGACAAGCAAGACAAGCAAGACAAGCAAGACAAGCAAGACAAGCAAGACAACAACAGCCTGCAGCACAGCAAGCACAAGGCCAGTCAGGCGCACATCAACCACACGCGTACTGTTCTTGCGTCCACTTCCAGTGAGTGACATCCAATGATGAGCGGTGAAGCGCGCCACCAGCGACACCAGCCCGTGGAGGAAGGCTGGACTGGGCCCTTCCACTTCCTTGCACTGGCAGACCCGCAACTGGGCACCCTCCATTCAAACGAGGCCTGGGACGAGTGAGTACAGTACTCGTCGTTGTGGTTGCCATAATTTGCTGTTGATGCGAAGGTTGCTATGAAGCGTTGCCATGGTTGTTGATGATATGGGGGGGGGGAGGGAACGAGTCATGGCGTTGCCTTCGTTTGTCCAACATGTTGTTATCCGTGCCATGTTTGTTGCCCATGCCGTGTTTGTTGTCCCTGACGTCATCCGCGGCCACACCTGTTTACAACACACAGCACACTCACAACATGTACACACAACTCCCACGCACTCACAATGCACCCCGTGCACGTTACCCTCACACACACACTCACTCACAACATTGCGCGCACACTCACGCGCTCACTCACTCACTCACTCACTCACTCACTCACTCACTCGCTCATTCACGCACACGCACACGCACACACACACACACACTCACTCACTCACTCACTCACTCACTCACTCACTCGCTCATTCACTCGCTCATTCACGCACGTGCACACACACTCTCTCTCTTTCTCTCTCGCCACTGCAGAGAGCTTGAGATGCTGCGCAAGGCGATTGCACACGCCAACCGCCTCAAGCCAGCCTTTGTTGTGTTCCTGGGAGACCTGGTACATGCCTTCCCCGATCAGAGCGAAGAGCTGAAGCAGATACAGACGCAGCAAGTGGAGGACTTTAGAACTGCCCTCGCGGAGATGGACAGCAACATCCCCATCTACTACGTCAGCGGCAACCACGACCTCGGCAACAAGCTCACACACAACGCGCTGCAGCTGTACCGGCAGCGGTTTGGGCCAGACTTCTTCGAGTTCACCTGCCGTGGCGTGCGTGGCGTTGTCCTCAACACGCAGGCATTTGACGATCCCGACGCCACGGAGCTCGCCGAGGAGCAGATCCGCTTCTTGCAATCGGCGCTGGAGATTGAGGATGACAATGGTGATGACGATGGTGATGACGATGATGACAGTGCGCAGGACCAAGAGGGAAGGAGGGGTGATGCGAGCAAGAAGTCTCGTGGTGCTGAGCGTGACACACGGCCGAGGATTGTGCAGAAGATTGTGTTTGGCCACATCCCGCCGTTCCTGTTTGAGGAAGACGAGCCCGATGGTTATTTCAACATCGCCCCCGAAATGCGTGCGCGCCTGCTGGGCATTGCCAAGAAGGCGGGCGTGAGGCTGTGGATGTCTGGGCACTACCACCGCAACGCCGTGGGCAGAGCCGGCGAGCTGGAGGCAGTCACCACCAGCGCTGTTGGCACGACCTTGCATCCGAGTGGCATTGACCCGCTTGGACTGAAAGGGTTTGATGACTTCCAGTGCGGCGAGCAGCACTCTGGGTTCCGCGTTGTTCGTGTGTATGAGGATCGTATTGAGCATGACTGGTACACCATGGCCAACGTGCCCCAGTCCATCGCACTCTGATGGCCTTGATCTCAATGCATGTGTGTGTGTGTGTGTGTGTGTGTGTGTGTGTGTGTGTGTGTGTGTGTGTGTGTGTGTGTGTGTGTGTGTGAGGGTGTGTGTGTGTGTGTGTGAGGGTGTGTGTGTGTGTGTCTGGCTGTCCGACTGTCTGTGCGCCCACGTGTGCGAGTCCAATTTGTTTGTGCGTACGCACGCGCGTGTAACTGTGTACCTGTAATCGTGTCTGCAAGCGTGCACCCGATGTGAAGGCTTGCACGCTTTGGTTGCCAGCATGCATGTCTCTCCAATCCGCTGTTGTTGGTTCCGTACTCTTGTCGCCGCATGATTCCATAACTGCATTGAGTTTCCCCTCTGTAAGCGCATGTCTTCTTCCGTGGGTTTGTTTTCTTAGAACGCCTGCCTTCTTGTCTCGCATTCTTCTCTGAGTGACCCCTCCCCCCCCCCCCTTGCTGCCGTTTTTTCTCTCTCCGTCTTGCCTGCATGCATTTCTTGCCGCGTTACAATGACCTTACTTCACATTTCATGTCATGCAAGTGCTGCCTCTTTGTGTGCTAAATGATTGCATGTGTTGATACATTGCACTGTGTCTTGTCGCGTGGCATTAATGGCTCTGTCAAATACACCAAACCGCATGCATGCGTCGTCACAGCATCGCACCACTCAGCCTGGTTTGCCTGCATGCGTGCGTGCACACACACGCACGCAACGATCACACTCGCTCTCTTACCTCCACACACACACACACACACACATGTTGTGCAGTCGCTTTCGGGCGGTTTATGAATCACTTGGACAAGGAGGGAGAGCGAAACAAAAAGAGGGGGGAAAAGGGATGGAACTCGCGTGCGCGCGCATCCAGACGTGCACAGGCTTGCATATGCATGGGCCAAACACACCAAACACACCAACGAAGCTACTGGGAGTGACGGGTGTAACCAACAACGGGGTTGGGAAGAAGAGGGGGGAGGGGCAGGGCAAAGGGGGGAAAGAAGGGTGATTATTATTGTTTTGGGGGGCAGCATAGGGCAGCCGGAAAGAAAACAGCAAGCTGACGAAGACGCGGGGAACACACAATCAGCAATCACGACAACAACAACAGCAACAACCAGATGGAATATAACGCCATCACGTACACTGTCGGCATGAGTCGACGACAAACGACAGGGAGAAAGGAAACAAACTGTGCGCGCGCACGAACACGCACGCAGGCACACAACACGCGCGACTGAGCAGCACCAACACACATTTTGTCGTCCGTCACATTTAGGAACACGCGCACACAAGACAAGAAAAGAGCGCCCTTGAACAGGAAGAGGCAATTGGGGGACTTGGGGTTGGAGCTGCCGACTGACAGAACCGCCAAACAAACAGCACCAACAGAGGAAAATGAATCACAAAGGCGAAAAAAAAAAAAGTAAGACATTGCACCACACCATGCGACGGAAAGGAACAACACACCACCACGACTTGAAGAGAAAGTCATCAACCAAAAACCATTCGGCCAATGACAAAGAGGGGAGGGGGTGGTGGTGGAAATGTGCCCGATCCAACACACTACTTCAGCGGATGCATGCCGACGCCTTCACAACATGTTCTCGCCCCGGGAGCCTCTCAGTACTGCGGTGGGAAGTTGTAGTACTGCAATGTGTGTGTGTGTGTGTGTGTGTGTGTGTGTGTGTGTGTGTGTGTGTGTGTGTGTGTGTGTGTGTGTGTGAGAGAGCACGTGAGACGTGTGCGAGGATGGGGGACAAGCAAAGAGAAGATTCGAAGGTGCAAGCCGCCTGATGATGCGCACAGGGTACAATCAACCAAAGCCGAGTGGCCACCAACAGCAGACAGCAGGGCAAGAAGTGTGCTGTACCTGCATGTAGGGGGGCATCTGCGTTGGCATCTGGCCGCCAAAGTCCTGGCCGTACATGGGGCCCTGGTGGCGGCTCGTTGGCTGCCCACCCATCTCCTCAAAGTCGTTGCCCTCATCCTGCGCACACGTCACAGAGCAGTTGCAGCATACAACGTGAGACGTCCGATATGATGATGATGATGATGATGATGATGATGATGCACCAGCAAACATGACACGCAGATGGGCACACGAACACCAGAGGCAAAGCACACGAACGGCGGCAAAAAGAAGAGAGCATGTGGCGCACAACGTACGCGAGCACCGGCGCCAGGCTGCTGGAACATGTGCGGCTGACCACCGCGCTGGCCGTATGGCGGCATTTGGTACATGTACGGCGCTGTAACGTGGTTGGGTTTGGGGGCGGGGACACGACGTTAGAAAACACGGTGAAAAGAGAGACCGTGCGCGGATGTGTGTGTGTGTGTGTGTGTGTGGTAAAAAAAAAGCTGCAAGTTGGTGATTGTCGGGATAATTTCAACAAATGTGGCGCCACCACAGCAAGCAAACAAACAACGTGGATGACTTACGGTACATGGGCATAAAGCCCGGGGCGAATCCCATGCCCATGTGCTGCTGCTGTTGCTGCTGTACAAAGCGCAAACGAAACGAGAAGCAAGAAAGAGGTGCAGGTCGCATGTGAGCACGCAACAAACTGGGCGCAAGTTGCACCTGCCAACGCTCTTACAGCATGTGTCGCCGCACCTGTCCACATGATCAGAAACATACAAACAGCACAAACGCAAACAAGCCCCCCACATGCACACACACACACACGCACGTTGGGGCGGTTGTAGCGGCTGTTGTAGCCCTGGTTTCCGTAGCCCTGGCCCTTGTGGCCCTTGTGGTGGTGCGAGGGGCCGCCGTGCTGCTGCTGCTGCGCCTGCTGCTGCTGGTGCTGGGGAGCCTGCTGGGAGGGCATGTCATCCTGCAAAACACACAAGAAGATGATGGGTGTTACGTGAGCCCGTGCACAAAACTGGCAAACAAAGAACTCACTTCAAACACAGCGCTGCTGTCCAACACACGCGCGCGCGCGCGAACCATAAACAACAAATGCAAAACGTCGCTGTGCAACGGCGCCTAAAACTCAAACAAACAAACAAGCAAACAAACGCACGTCGCGGGTCATCTGCTGGGTGTGGTCCTGCGGCTGCTGCTGCTGCTGCTGCTGTTGTGGCTGCTGCTGGCCGTGTGGGCCTGCGTGGTGGCGGTGGTGGCGGCGGCTGCCGTAGTGCTCCTGCGCGCCCTGGTCAGCACCACCCATGCCCATGCCCATACCGCCGCGGTGCACGGCCGCAGAGGTCATGGGGGGACCGCGGAACTGCGTCTGGGCCTGGCTTGGGGTGGGGAACATGCCTTGCTGGTGGGGCATGGCGTGCTGCTGGTGCTGGTGCGCCATGGCACCAAACATCTGCTGCATCTGGTCGGCCATCGGCGCCTGGCCCATCTGCATCATCTGTACACAGATAAGGGGGAGGGGGTTGAGGTGAGGTGAGGAAGGAAGGTGCAAGGGTTGGAGAAAAGGAGGGGATGAGTGGATAACGCGCAGAAACCAGAGGACAGAATAACACAAGTCCTCACACACACACACACACACGAGCGCCGCGTACGCACCGAGTCCATGCCTGGTGCCTGGTGCATGTGCATGCCTGGCGCCTGGTGATGCTGCTGGGACGCCATCGAGTGCGGCTGCTGCTGTGGCTGTTGAGGTGCGTGCTGCGGCTGGCGTGGCGCTTGCTGTGCCATTTGCTGTGGCTGCTGCTGCTGCTGTTGTGGTTGTTGTGGCTGTGGTGCAACTTCTTGCTGTGGCTGTGGCTGCTGTGGCTGCTGCTGAGGTGCGGCCATCTGTGGCTCCGGCACCGCCCGCTGCGGCTGTTGTGGTTGTGGCTGTGGCTGCTGCTGTTGCTGCTGCTGCTCTTGTTGGCTGTAGGCAGACGAGCCCTTCATGTGTGCAAGCATCTCTGGGACGGTGTTCATGAGCGGCTTGAGGGCGTCGGGCTTCTGCTGCTCCGCTGCCGCTGCCTCCTGTGCGGGCATCGCCTCAGACACTGCTGCATCCTCGGGCGGCAGCTCAGGCTCGCCCTGCTCCTCTTGCTGCTGCTGCTGCTGCTGCTGCTGTACTGGCTCCTCCACCACGGCCTCCTGTGCCGGCGCTGTGGTTGGCTCGTCAAAGCCAAAGCTGATGGCAAGGTTCTCCAGGTTCTGCTGCAGACCGGGCACGACTACGGCCGATGTTGCTGCGGGCTTGGTCTGGCGCTTGCTGCGGCCGCCCTCCCACACAGCCTCTGTCTGCTCCTGCTCCTCCTGCACAATCTGCGTCTGCACGCCTTGGTCCTCAACAACCGTCGTGGTGGTGGTGGAGGTCGTCTGCTGCATCCATGCAATGTCTGTGTTCATCTCCTCTTCCTCTTGCGCCTGCTCCTCCTGCTGCTGCTCGTCGCTGTATGCCTCCTCCACCTGTGTCTCGGTGGTGCTGAACTCAATCACCTCCTCCGTGACCTGTGTCTGCTCCACCTCGTACGTGGCTGCTGCTGCCTCCTCCTCTGCGGCGGCGGCCTGCTGTGCTGCGAGGGCCTGTGCCTCCTGTGCCTCAACCTCGGCCTGTGCCTGTGCGAGGGCCTCGGCTTGTGCCCGCGCCTGCTCCTCCTCTTGCTGGCGCAGCTGCTGTGCGCGCGCACGCTTCTCGCGCACCTGGTTTGTGGGCTTGCGAGCAATCTGTGCCCACGACTCTGTTGTTGGTGTTGTGTTGTCAGAGGGGTTGTGGAAAGGCGGGGGAAGAGAGAGAGAGAGAGAGAGAGAGAGAGAGAGAGAGAGAGTGTGTGTGTGTGTGTGTGTGTGTGTGTGAGAAAGGGGGGGGGGGCGTGCGCGAATGGCAGGTTGGCATTTGTGTGCGCAATGTAAGCGGCGAATAATTTCGCGTGATTGAGCAGAGCAAAGACAAAAAAAGGGGGTGGGGGAGGGCAAAATGCAACATGTCCCGACAGCACACGCACAACTTACACACGCACACACAAAGCACCACAGAGCACGGACGAATCAGAGTCGAGTGGAAGGAGACGTACTGCCTGCGGGCTTTGGCGCTGCTGCCTTGGTTGGTCGCTGCTGCTGCTGCTGCTGCTTCCTCTCTGGCTGCTGGTTCTCAACCTGCTGCTGGTCAATCTGCTTCTGGGGCTTGGCGGCGGCGTCACCGTTGGGCGCCTTGGCCTGAAGAAGGAAGCGCGCGGGGAGAAGAGACGGTGATGTGGTGAGCGTGAGCATGAGATTGGAGGATGGGGGAAAAAGCACACTAACACACTAACACACTAACACACAACTCGCACTTGCACACTACTCACACGCTCACACACAAACACACACCTTCTGTGGGGCTTGCTGCTGCTGCTGCTGCTGCTGGCGGCGTGGGCCGGGCTTGCCACCGGCTGCTGGGCCACCGCGGCCGCGGCCCTCTGCGGGAGCACCACGACGACCACGGCCGCGGCCCTCAGGGCGCTCACGGCGGCCGCGCGTGTCAGAGGGGCCGCGACGACCCCGGCGGTCAAAGCCAGCACCGCGGTACCCGCCACGCTGGCGGCGGTCGCGTTGTCTACACACACACACACACACACACACACACAAGCAGCACCCAGAGTCATGTGAGGACAAGGCAATCATGTGCATGTCTTTGAGAGAGGGCGGGAGGAACAAATCGAGAGCGCGAGCAGCTACAACGCCAAGCAACACAAACATGCGTACGCACGAGCAAAAGCGAACAAACTCACGTCGTTGGCTGAGGCTTTGTGGGCGCAAAGTCATCGTATGCCTGCACACACCAGACGCCACCAGACGAACGAAAAAAAAAAAGCGATGAAACGAAGCCATGGAGTGATGAGCATCGTGTGGACAAGAGCGAGCGCCACATTCCAACAAGCAGAGCAAGGGCATCAACAACGAGCCACGCACGTTTGAGATGAGGGCCTCCAGGGTGTCGGCTTCATCCTGACCGTGCTCGTTCAGAGCTGTTGCGAAAGGGAGACAAACGCGTGACACAAGCAGGTGAGCGCGCGCGTGATAAGTGGTCTGTGTGGAAAACGCGTGACGTGTCACCAGTCTTGGCATGCTACAAGGCTTGTGAAAAGCAATCAATGCAGGCAACGTGTGAAAAGAAACAAGGGCGAGGTAAGCAAGCGTACCAAAGAGGATGGCAGTCTCTGAGCGGTCGCGAATGCCCATCTCGCGCAAACGATCGCTGATCTGTTTTGGGTCGACGAGAAAAGAAAAAAAGCGTGGAGAAAGGTGTCATGCGTGCGGACGCGTGAGGAGCGACAAAAGCGAAAAGGTGTGCAGAGAGGGTGCAGTGTATGTGCGTGCATGTGTGCGTGTCTGTGTGTGTGTGTGTGTGTGTGTGTGTGGCATGAAGGCGGGCAATGCATGGCACAGGCGAGCGAACGTACGCGAGTGGCCTTGGTGAGCATGCCTTGCTCGACGTTCTGTTGGTGGCGTATGTGGGGGATCACAAACGTGAGTACAAAACAACAGGCATCGCGGTAAGTGGAGTGTGTGATGATTGAGCAGGCACGGCGCTAGTGTCAGGCAATCCAAAAGGAACAGGGATAGCGTGGAGCGTACGTTGACCATGGTAGCCATGGTGGTTTGTTTTTCTTGGGGGGTTTGCTGTGATATCTGTCAGCAGCAGCAAGACCCGAGTTGGACACGAGGGAGGGAAGTGAGTGCGGTGAGTGCGTGCTTGCAAAGCATGCAGTGGTGGTGTTGCTGTTGGTGTTGGTACGGCACACGAAACAGAGAACTCTGGCGGGATGTGGACACGGACACACATGCACACGCACAACATGGCTGATCAAAACACAATTGTTGAACCGCAACAACAAGGACCCGCACAGCCGACTATGCGTGGGCACGCATACATACACGACACATACACGGGCTCTCACACATGCGCGCTCTCACACAACAAACACACGCGCTCGTACAACAGACGGCAGGCATGATTGCGTTGGCGCGCAGCTGTCGCGCCACGCACGACAGCGTGTTGTGTTGCGTGGACACTTGTGTCACGGTCACACTCACCACAGAACAGAAGACGTGGTGTCCACGAACGAAGATGCTCTGACAAGACACGTGTCAAAGCTGAACAAGAACAACTGCGGGACTTGCTGTGATCAAGCTTGGTCAAGGGTGGTGGTGGTGGTGACGGGTGTGACACAAAGCACGGCGGAAAGACGATGCTCGCTTGCTGGTTGTGTCAGGGGGGGTGCGGGAAGTGAATGGGGGCTGCGTAAGCGCACAACACACAGAGGAAAAAAAAAAGTCTCGTGTGTGTGTGTGTGTGTGTGTCGCGTGGCGCTCTCGCTCTGTCTCCTTCTTGCTTCAGTGTTTTGTCGGCCGTTTTTTCTGTTTGTGTGTGATCAAAGCGGTTTTTGGTGGAAAACATTCACAAAACAGAAAATGCTGACTCGACACTTCTGGCAGTGACGAACAACAACAAGAGTGGCAAATGGAAAAGAGCTTGGCCTCGCTTTGGTTGGTTTGCCTCGCCTTGGTGTACTTCGTGTGCTTGGTGATGATGTGAGGGGACACATCAGCATCAACAGCGCATCACATCACTCCACAAAGAGGGGGCGGGCGCTGGGGAAGAGCACGTGCACGCTGCGGCTGTCAAACAGATCCGTCCAGCCTATTTAATTGCGCGTGTGTGTGTGTGTGTGTGTGTGTGAATGGATGAGAGAAGGTGGATGTGAGGATGGCAACGAATGTGCACTTTGGGAAAACACACAGAGCAACGTGCACAAGCCTAGCTTTCCCTTCCCCCTCCTCCCAATGTGCACCTGCACCATACCGAGCTTGTCAAAGAGCTGCTGCTTGAGCTCAAAGGCGTCCTTGCTCGTCTCGTCGCCAATGCATTGCAGCGCCTGTCCGTACTCCTCACGCGCCATGTGGTACTTGGCAAGCGACAGTGCCCACTTCTGTGAAGGTTGTTGATTTGTGCGTGTGTGAGAGTGAGTGAGTTTATGTGAGAGTGTGTGAGTGTGTGTAAGTGCGTGAGTGTGAGTGTGTGAAGGAAAGGGAAACATGCCATGTGTGCATCCGTGTGCCACTACAGCTCACGATGTGCAAACGCACACATTGGCAACCATCAAGTCATTGACCCAATGGTGCACAAGCGCGCGCAAGCAACCAGCATGCCACGTACCGAGTCCTTGTATGGGTCTGTCCAGCGCTTTGCGTTGGTGATGGCGGTGCGGGCCGTGTTGGTGCGGGCGTCCCCTTCCAGCTCAAGCGCACACTTGAGCTGTCATCGTGCGTGTGGTGTGTGCGTGTGTGTGTGTGTGTGTGTGTGTGTGTGTGTGTGTGTGTGTGTTCACGGTGAGGCCATGCATGGCAGCGGTCACGTTCGATCATGTTGGACAAGTGTGTGCACGAGAACGCAAAGCACACAAACGCACAAAACACACACACGCGGCTCCTTTTCAGCCACAAAACAATCACCCATCACCCCACGCCCTCCCCCCCCCCCACACACACACACCTGGAGAAGCAAGAGGGCGATGAGGTTCGACTTGGTGGATGTCATGTCTTCCTTGCGTTTGGCCGCGGCGTCCTTCGCCTCCTGCGTCTCCTCCTCAACAACATCTGTCCGCCCAAAGTACTCTGCAAGCGCACGCGTGTCCACGCTGTCCACGGCCTCCTCAATCAGCGGCAGCAGGCTCTCCTGTTGATGGTTGTTTGTTGGGGCGGGGCGAAGATGAGGATGAGAATGAGGGTGAGGATGAGGGTGAGGATGAGGATGAGGATGAGTGAGGTGGGGGGGGGGCAAACCTGGTGGGGATCAAGAGGCCACAAGTTGAAGAATAGTCATGTCAGGGGCAAGTTTCGCACAAGAAGGAGCACACAGTTCATATGCACACACGCACACATATACACACAGACACACACAAACTCACACAAAACTCAACGCATACAGAACACACACACACACACACACACACAAACTCACACACAAACTCACACACACAGTGTGCCTCTGACAAGCGAGATAAGACCTTGCTGTCTGTGAGGTCAAAGCGCTTGGTGATGACAGCGAGCTGCACATCGAGGGCACCGGCATGGCGCTCCCCAATCTCAGCCAGCACGTCAACATCGTCCTTCGTCGCGCTGGTGGGCACGGCAGAGGTAGTCGGTTGGTGCGAAAGGAGGGCGGGGGGAGGTTGAGAATGTAAAGGGTGAGTGAGTGGAAGGGAGAGAGCCAAGAAGAGGATGCGCTCATGAACGATGCAAAGATACAAGCACATGCATGAGCCCACAGACACACACACGCACACACGAAAAGATACACACACACAGGAACACACACACTCGCACACACTCACACACACACACAGGAACACACGCCAGCTGTGCACCTCTTGATAAAGTCGAGGTCTGCAGCTTTGATTGCGTCCTTGTACGCCTTGTTCTTCTTGTTCTTCTTGCTCTTCTTGCTGCTGCTGCTGGTGGTCTCGGCAGGCTTCACTTTGCCCTTGGTCACCAGCGCGCGCACGCACCACGTCGACCACTGGCGTGTTGTTCAGACAGAAGGGTGGGGAGGGGAGGAGACGGTCAACATTGGTGTGGTCGTAGTGGGATGTGGTGGTGGTGAGGAAGAGGTGAGGACGAGATGGAACAAAAGCTCGAGAAGAGGCATCAGCAAAACAAGCAGTCCGATCGGATGGGCGTGGGGAGGGACAAGGGTGGTGGAAACACGACAAGTTGAAACAATCAAAGGAGGCGGCGTGTGCGCCGTTCGTCCTTCTTCAAACGCCACCAAACTAAACAACAAACAAACCCACAAAGCCATCTCCAACCAACCCACAAACAAACCCACAAAGCCATCTCCAACCAACCCACAAACAAACCCACAAACCAACCCACACACACACACACACACACACACACACTTCTAACCGCCACGACCACATCGCAACCAGCACGCCGGCTCACCTCCGGGTGGTCTGTGCGCTTCTTGCGTTCGCGCCTGTTGAGGCGGGTACGCACCTGTGCATCGGCGGCCATGGTGATGGTGCCGCT